CCGTTGCCGAAGGTGGACCTTTGAATCTTCCCCAATCAATGATCATCAAGTTGGGTTTGCTGAATTTCCTCATCCTCTTCGAGCGACAGCACAGGATAATCATATGTTCTCGTCCTCGTCCCCTTCAGCATACATCGCCTCAATACGTAGGTCTGACGTTTCACCTTACCAACACGCCCCAGCTTCAGACCCGCTCGTCCACGTTGCCGAAAAAGCTCCGCAGCTGCGCTATGCCCTTTGTGTTTTCATGCCAATTTCCCTGCCATGCTAGCTTTCGACCCCGACCCCTGGGCCTCAAGTATACTCCCACGCCTCTGTGTGCATGTATATTCTTTTTTTTTATGTGGTCCCCATTGCCATCTCAGGGGGCGGAGCTGTTCCCTTCAGCGGCGGTCAAAATTTCGCTGCCGGTGGTACCGCGGCGTGAATTCTTGTGGCCATGGGATGGGCATCATTTATGTGGATATTTTGTACACATTGCATCAACTTAATTACTTTACTTCGTGTGATCCCCACCATGACATTTATACATTTTCTTACTGGCAAATCTTCTGGCATTCTATCTGACATATCTTCTGACATTCTATTTGGCATTCTATCTGGCATATCTTCTGGCATATGATCTGGCATATCTTCTGGCATTCTATCTGGCAAATCTTCTGGCATTCTATCTGGCATATCTTCTGGCACTCTATCGGACATATCTTCTGGCATTCAATCTGGCATTCTATCTGGCATATCTTCTGGCATATATTCTGACATATCTTCTGGCATTCTATCTGACATATCTTCTGGCATATATTCTGACATATCTTCTGGCATATCTTCTGGCATATCTATCTGGCAAATCTTCTGGCATATTTTCTGGCATTCTATCTGGCAAATCTTCTGGCATTCTATCTGGCATTCTATCTGGCATATTTTCTGGCATATTATCTGGCATTCTATCTGGCATATCTTCTGGCATATATTCTGACATATCTTCTGGCATTCTATCTGGCATTCTATCTGGCATTCTATTTGGCATTCTATCTGGCATATCTTCTGAAAATCTTTCTGACATTCTTTCTAACTTTCTTCTGCACATTCTTTGTCCCATATCTTCCTACATGAGGTCCGGCAGGGAACACTTGGCGTGGATACTCGCGGTTGAGGTCCGGCAGGGAATACTGGGCGTGGATGGTCGTGGTTGAGGTCCGGCAGGGAACACTGGGCGGGGATGGTCGTGGTTGAGGTCCGGCAGGGAACATTGGGCGTGGATGGTCGTGGTTGAGGTCCGGCAGGGAACACTGGGCGTGGATGGTCGTGGTTGAGGTCCGGCAGGGAACACTGGGCGTGGATGGTCGTGGTTGAGGTCCGGCAGGGAACACTGGGCGGGGATGGTCGTGGTTGAGGTCCGACAGAGAACACTGTGGATCGCGGGTCGCAGTTGGACGAGGAGGACGACGAGGAGGACGACGAGGAGGACGACGAGGAGGACGACGAGGAGGAGGAGAGGAGAAGAGGAGAGGAGGAGCAGGCAACTGACATAAAATCTAACAACCCTCACCTGGCAGGTGGGGAAAAAACGTATACATTTGAATTAACATCATGTTGAACAATGTTGAATATATATATAAATATATTAATATATATATAAATATTAATACATTGTATATATATAATATAATATAAATAAATAAATATAAATAAATAAATATATATATATAAATAATATAATGTATGTATATATACTTAGGCCTTCCGCAGGCCGTTTTTTCAACCCGAATCTGTTCAGGCTGATATTTTAGCCCGAATGGAATCTTTTCGTTTGGGGTATTTTTTTCTGCCGGATGGTGTTTTTAGTGATTTTGATGATGTTTGGTTAAGATGCCCACTAAAACTATATATTGTTGAGATACCATGAGGTAAAAAACCAGACGGATAACAGTGTTAAAGAAGTTTACTGTTTCAAAATTCAGGAAAATCTCATTTCGGGTGTTTTCGCCTGTTTCGTGGGTGTTTTCGCCCGTTTCGTGGATGTTTCCGCCCGAAAAAAAATATCACATTTCAAAACCAGAATAAAAAAACAGCGAACATCACCCACAGAGCATTTCTTTTCACCTGGATCGTCCACCAGGATCTTATCAGAATACCTCAACATATGGATAAAACCACTTTCCGCCTGAGGTGTCATTTTCTGCCCGGAAAGTCCGCAGGCTGATATTTGAGAAAAGGCTGAAATTAAGGCATTTTGGAAGATGCACATATATATATATAATTACATTACATATATATACACATAATATTACATAATATAAATATATTTTATATACATTATATATATATGCATTATATACATAATATATATATACATTATATATATATACACATTATATATATAAACATTATATATATATACATTATATATATATATACATATGTATTATATATATATATATACATCATACATATATATATATATACATCATATATATATACACATCATATATATATACACATCATATATATACATCATATATATATATATACATCATATATATATATACATCATATATATATATACATCATATATATATATATATACATCATATATATATATGTATACATTATATATATATATGTATACATTATATATATACAGTATATATATATTATTATATATACATCATATATAAATATATATATATATCATATATATACATCATATATATATATTATGCAACACATGTTTGTAAGTGATAATAGACATGTGTGGTCCCCCTGGTACTAACCAATTAAGTAACATCTTTGATTGAAATTTGCAATGTCTTGCAAGCACTGTTAGGATTTGTTTTTTTGGGTTCATTTTCGTCCCATAGATATGTGCAAATCTGTTTTCAAAATATGTTCATGCTCAGCTCCCGCCCCCACAAAGAAAGCACATCGGCCCCAAAACCTACCTTTGTTTGGGTTACCAATATTTCTTTTTTCGGAGGAAATTCTCAAGTTTGAACACATGATTTTCTCAACTCTGAGCATTATAATCATCACAGTGCCATCTCAGGGGGCGGAGCTGTTCCCTTCAGCGGCGGTCAAAATTTCGCTGCCGGGCCACCACCCGGTGGAGCTGGTGGTACCGCGGCGTGAATTCTTTTGGCCATGGGGTGGGAACCAGAGACAGGGAGGACATTGATGTGGATCTTATGTACACATTGCATCAAGTATAAAAATATACATTGAATTTGAATTAACATCAGTTTATATACATGCAGCACATGTTTGTAAGTGATAATAGACATGTGTGGTCCCCCTGGTACCAACCAATTAAGTAGCATCTTTGATTGGAATTTGCAATGTCTTGCAAGCACTGTTAGGATTTGTTTTTTTGGGTTCATTTTCGTCCCATAGATATGTGCAAATCTGTTTTCAAAATATGTTAATGCTCAGCACCCGCCCCCACAAAGAAAGCACATCGGCCCCAAAACCTACCTTTGTTGGGGTTACCAATATTTCTTTTTTCGGAGGAAATTCTCAAGTTTGAACACATGATTTTCTCAACTCTGAGCATTATAATCATCACAGTGCCATCTCAGGGGGCGGAGCTGTTCCCTTCAGCGGCGGTCAAAATTTCGCTGCCGGGCCACCACCCGGTGGAGCTGGTGGTACCGCGGCGTGAATTCTTTTGGCCATGGGGTGGGAACCAGAGACAGGGAGGACATTGATGTGGATCTTATGTACACATTGCATCAAGTATAAAAATATACATTGAATTTGAATTAACATCAGTTTATATACATGCAGCACATGTTTGTAAGTAATAATAGACATATGTGTGGTCCCCCTGGTACCAGCCAATTAAGTAGCATCTTTGATTGGAATTTGCAATGTCTTGAAAGCACTGTTAGGATTGGTACCGTAGATACGTGCAAATCTGTCTTCAAAATATGTCAAGACATGTATAGACATGTTCAGCACATCGGCCACAAAACCTACCCTTCCGAGAAACTAAAGAGGCTGCGGTTTGAATTGCGGAGGGCTTTACTAACATATTCTTTTCGGAAGAAAGAAATGCAGTTCTCAAGTTTGAACACATGATATTCTCAAGTCTGAGCATGAGGCGCTCCCAAGTCTGAATGCCTTGGGGCCCGCCTTCCCTTGTATTGAAGATTAAAACTTCAAGATTGTTCTTGGTAGTGTATCCAATTAGTATCTCATTAATTCCCAATAATACCTTCATAGCATCATGTTTAAATCAGACCAAGCCCTATTGTTTGCCGGACATATCCCAAAGTATCCGCATCATATCCGATATCCCCGTAGTTCCACTCGGTCATATCCCCATATAGCACCAAAAAACCATGATTTTTGATATTTTTGTGGATTATATCGCCGTTTTCAGATTAAACCCGGTATCATGCTGGTTCCTCGACATATTCCATTACTGTATGTACCCATCATATTCCCAAGGTTTCCCCGTAGAACTTCCATCTCAGGGGGCGGAGCTGTTCCCTTCAGCGGTCAAAATTTCGCTGCCGGGCCACCACCCGGTGGAGCTGGTGGTACCGCGGCGTGAATTCTTTTGGCCATGGGGTGGGAACCAGAGACAGGGAGGACATTGATGTGGATCTTATGTACACATTGCATCAAGTATAAAAATATACATTGAATTTGAATTAACATCAGTTTATATACATGCAGCACATGTTTGTAAGTGATAATAGACATGTGTGGTCCCCCTGGTACCAACCAATTAAGTAGCATCTTTGATTGGAATTTGCAATGTCTTGCAAGCACTGTTAGGATTTGTTTTTTGGGTTCATTTTCGTCCCATAGATATGTGCAAATCTGTTTTCAAAATATGTTAATGCTCAGCACCCGCCCCCACAAAGAAAGCACATCGGCCCCAAAACCTACCTTTGTTGGGGTTACCAATATTTCTTTTTTCGGAGGAAATTCTCAAGTTTGAACACATGATTTTCTCAACTCTGAGCACTATAATCATCACAGTGCCATCTCAGGGGGCGGAGCTGTTCCCTTCAGCGGCGGTCAAAATTTCGCTGCCGGGCCACCACCCGGTGGAGCTGGTGGTACCGCGGCGTGAATTCTTTTGGCCATGGGGTGGGAACCAGAGACAGGGAGGACATTGATGTGGATCTTATGTACACATTGCATCAAGTATAAAAATATACATTGAATTTGAATTAACATCAGTTTATATACATGCAGCACATGTTTGTAAGTAATAATAGACATATGTGTGGTCCCCCTGGTACCAGCCAATTAAGTAGCATCTTTGATTGGAATTTGCAATGTCTTGAAAGCACTGTTAGGATTGGTACCGTAGATACGTGCAAATCTGTCTTCAAAATATGTCAAGACATGTATAGACATGTTCAGCACATCGGCCACAAAACCTACCCTTCCGAGAAACTAAAGAGGCTGCGGTTTGAATTGCGGAGGGCTTTACTAACATATTCTTTTCGGAAGAAAGAAATGCAGTTCTCAAGTTTGAACACATGATATTCTCAAGTCTGAGCATGAGGCGCTCCCAAGTCTGAATGCCTTGGGGCCCGCCTTCCCTTGTATTGAAGATTAAAACTTCAAGATTGTTCTTGGTAGTGTATCCCATTAGTATCTCATTAATTCCCAATAATATCTTCATAGCATCATGTTTAAATCAGACCAAGCCCTATTGTTTGCCGGACATATCCCAAAGTATCCGCATCATATCCGATATCCCCTTAGTTCCACTCGGTCATATCCCCAAATAGCACCAACAAAACCATGATTTTTGATATTTTTGTGGATTATATCGCCGTTTTCAGATTAAACCCGGTATCATGCTGGTTCCTCGACATATTCCATTACTGTATGTACCCATCATATTCCCAAGGTTTCCCCGTAGAACTTCCATCTCAGGGGGCGGAGCTGTTCCCTTCAGCGGTCAAAATTTCGCTGCCGGGCCACCACCCGGTGGAGCTGGTGGTACCGCGGCGTGAATTCTTTGGGCCATGGGATGGGCACCAGGGACAGGTAGCACATTGATGTGGATATATGTGGATATCATGTCCACATTATATACATCATATATTACATAATTATTACATCATAGATCATAATATCACGTTGAATAATGTTGAATTTGATAGACATATATATAATTCTATATATTATAATATTTAAATTTATTGTTATGTCGTACACGTACACATTACATCATATATCGTAATATGTTCATACTTTTGCTTTCATTTTTGTGGGGGGACATTAAATACGAAATTTATCGCGTTTGGGCATGAGGCGCTCCCAAGTCTGAATGCCTTGGGGCCCGCCTTCCCTTGTATTGAAGATTAAAACTTCAAGATTGTTCTTGGTAGTGTATCCCATTAGTATCTCATTAATTCCCAATAATATCTTCATAGCATCATGTTTAAATCAGACCAAGCCCTATTGTTTGCCGGACATATCCCAAAGTATCCGCATCATATCCGATATCCCCTTAGTTCCACTCGGTCATATCCCCAAATAGCACCAACAAAACCATGATTCTTGATATTTTTGTGGATTATATCGCCGTTTTCAGATTAAACCCGGTATCATGCTGGTTCCTCGACATATTCCATTACTGTATGTACCCATCATATTCCCAAGGTTTCCCCGTAGAACTTCCATCTCAGGGGGCGGAGCTGTTCCCTTCAGCGGTCAAAATTTCGCTGCCGGGCCACCACCCGGTGGAGCTGGTGGTACCGCGGCGTGAATTCTTTGGGCCTTGGGATGGGCACCAGGGACAGGTAGCACATTGATGTGGATATATGTGGATATCATGTCCACATTATATACATCATATATTACATAATTATTACATCATAGATCATAATATCACGTTGAATAATGTTGAATTTGATAGACATATACCGTTAAAAACAAAGTTAGAATGCGGTTTTGGCTTCGCGTGATGGTGGCCCGTTTGGCCCCCCCCCCACGGCAGTCGCATTCTAACTGAGGAAACACCTGTAAATATGCAGAAACACAATTAGAATGCGGCGCCAAAATTGGTAAGAAAATGTAAGTTTTGACTGGTATTTTACAGGCGAAATACAGTTAGAATGCCTCCTCCTTTTCTTCTATATTGTTCCTTGCCCTTCCTTTTCTTCTATGTCTTTTTCATTGATCTATATCTGCTGTAGTTTCCGGGGAGGCATTCTATCTGTTGTTTTCCCCGCTGTAGCCATATGTTTCTGACCCGCAGGGAACCTGGAGTGCCCTTGTCTCTTTTCCGACCTTATCCTCTTCCCTTTTCTCCTCCTTTTCTTCTATATTTTTGCCTTACCCTTCCTTTTCTTCTATGTCTTTTTCATTGATCTATATCTGCTGTAGTTTCCGGGAGGCATTCTATCTGTTGTTTTCGCCACTGTAGCCATATGTTTTTGACCCGCAGGGAACCTGGAATGCCCTTGTCATGCCCTTGTCTCTTTTCCGACCTTATCCTCTTCCCTTTTCTCGTCCTTTTCTTCTATATTGTTCCTTACCCTTCCTTTTCTTCTATGTCTTTTTCATTGAGCTATATCTGCTGTAGTTTCCGGGGAGGCATTCTAGTCTATCCGTTGTTTTCCGCACTGTAGCCATATGTTTCTGACCCGCAGGGAACCTGGAGTGCCCTTGTCTCTTTTCCTATCTTATCCTCTTCCCTTTTCTCCTCCTGTTCTTCTATATTGTTACTTACCCTTCCCTTTCTTCTATGCCTTTTTCATTGACCCATATCTGCTGTAGTTTCCAGGGACGCATTCTATCAGTTGTTTTCGCCACTGTAGCCATATGTTTTTGGCCCGCAGGGAACCTGGAGTGCCCTTGTCTCTTTTCCGACCTTATCCTCTTCCCTTTTCTCCTCCTGTTCTTCTATATTGTTACTTACCCTTCCTTTTCTTCTATGTCTTTTTCATTGATCTATATCTGCTGTAGTTTCCGGGAGGCATTCTATCTGTTGTTTTCTCACTGTGGCCATATGTTTCTGACCCGCGGGGAACCTGGAGTGCCCTTGTCTCTTTTCCGACCTTATCCTCTTCCCTTTTCTCCTCCTTTTCTTCTATATTGTTCCTTAATTACTCTTCCTTCTCTTCTATGTCTTTTTCATTAATCTATATCTGCTGTAGTTTCCGGGGAGGCATTCTATCTGTTGTTTTCCGCACTGTAGCCATATGTTTCTGACCCGCAGGGAACCTGGAGTGCCCTTGTCTCTTTTCCGACCTTATCCTCTTCCTTTTCTCCTCCTTTTCTTCTATATTTTTTCCTTACCATTCCTTTTCTTCTATGTCTTTTTCATTGATCTATACCTGCTGTAGTTTCCGGGGAGGCATTCTATCTGTTGTTTTCCCCACTGTAGCCATATGTTTCTGACCCGCAGGGAACCTGCAGTGCCCTTGTCTCTTTTCCGACCTTATCCTCTTCCCTTTTCTCCTCCTTTTCTTGTATATTGTTGCTTACCCTTCCTTTTCTTCTATGTCTTTTTCATTGATCTATATCTGCTGTAGTTTCCGGGGAGGCATTCTATCTGCTGTTTTCCCCACTGTAGCCATATGTTTCTGACCCGCAGGGAACCCTTGTCTCTTTTCCGATCTTATCCTCTTCCCTTTTCTCCTCCTTTCCTTGAATATTGTTCCTTACCCTTCCTTTTCTTCTATGTCTTTTTCATTGATCTATATCTGCTGTAGTTTCCGGGGAGGCATTCTATCTGTTGTTTTCGCCACTGTAGCCATATGTTTCTGACCCGCAGGGAACCTGGAGTGCCCTTGTCAAATTTTCCGATCTTATCTCTTCTCTTTTCTCCTCCTTTTCTTCTGTATTGTTCTTTACCCTTCCTTTTCTTCTATGTCTTTTTCATTGATCTATATCTGCTGTAGTTTCCGGGGAGGCATTCTATCTGTTGTTTTCCCCACTGTAGCCATATGTTTCTGACCCGCAGGGACCTGGAGGGCCCTTGTCTCTTTTCCGATCTTATCCTCTTCCCTTTTCTCCTCCTTTTCTTCTATATTGTTCCTTACCCTTCCTTTTCTTCTATGTCTTTTTCATGGATCTACATCTGCTGTCGTTTCCGGGGATGCATTCTATCTGTTGTTTTCCCTGCTGTAGCCATATGTTTCTGACCCGCAGGGAACCTGGAGTGCCCTTGTCTCTTTTCCGATCTTATCCTCTTCCCTTTTCTCCTCCTTTTCTTCTACATAGTTCCTTACCCTTCCTTTTCTTCTATGTTTTCTTCATTGACCTATATCTGCTGCTGTTTCCGAGGAGGCATTCTATCTGCTGATTATCTGCTGTTTTCATCACTGTAGCCATATGTTTCTGACCCGCAGGGAACCTGGAGTGCCTTTGTCTCTTTTCCGACCTTATCCTCTTCCGTTTTCTCCTCCTTTTCTTCTATATTGTTCCTTACCCTTCCTTTTCTTCTATGTCTTTTTCATGGATCTATATCTGCTGTAGTTTCCCGGGAGGCATTCTATCTGTTGTTTTCCGCACTGTAGCCATATGTTTCTGACCTGCATGGAACCTGGAGTGCCCTTGTCTCTTTTCAGATCTTATCCTCTTCCCTTTTCTCCTCCTTTTCTTCTATATTGTTCCTTAATTACTCTTCCTTCTCTTCTATGCCTTTTTCATTAATCTATATCTGCTGTAGTTTCCGGGGAGGCATTCTATCTGTTGTTTTCCGCACTGTAGCCATATGTTTCTGACCTGCAGGGAACCTGGAGTGCCCTTGTCTCTTTTCCGATCTTATCCTCTTCCCTTTTCTCCTCCTTTTCTTCTATATTCTTCCTTACCCTTCCTTTTCTTCTATGCCTTTTTCATTGATCTATATCTGCTGTAGTTTCCGGGGAGGCATTCTATCCGTTGTTTTTCCCACTGTAGCCATATGTTTCTGACCCGCAGGGAACCTGGAGTGCCCTTGTCTCTTTTCCGACCTTATCCTCTTCCCTTTTCTCCTCTTTT